ATATGAAATATAGGAAACCATTGACTAATCCCCAAGGTCATGTGGATTTGACGTGTAGATGCTTTGTTTTGGTAAGATTGTTGCTGTTTTAAGTCTTACGTGTCAGTTTCTGATTATTTCTGTTATTTCTCCAGGCGCTTGGCATTTGGTCCCCTTCCTCCATTTGCATGTGTATGCCTCGCTGCTGAGGTCCAGCCTCAGTGTGAGGAGGGTCCTGAGAAAGTGGGTAGGGGAGCAGTGCTGACTGAGTGACTACTCCGAGTCAGTAGCGGGTGCAGCTCTCTGTTCAGGTGTTCTCTCTTTGCCGGATCAGTCTCACCGGTCTTCCTTCTTTTGACAGTGAGCCTGAACCCAGTCTTTTATTTACTAACGGTACATCATCAAGGCTTTAACCATTGTTAATCAGAGGAAATCCTTTAATTTATATAAATTCTAACAACTCCCAATCTTTAGTCTCACCCCTACCCCCCCACTTCCTTAGAACAGAAACTAAAGACAAAGCAGAAGCAGGTCTCCTTACAGTTTTCACACAGCCTGTTCTTCACCGGCAGCCAGCACAGACAGCTCCTGCGGTTCCTGGTACAGCAGACAGAGTCTTTACTAAGAACAGAAAGGTGACACACTACTAAGGTTGAAATGATTTCTTACAAAGCTTTAAATTTTATGCAAGTAGGACAGCTAGCTCTCTCCGATATCTCTCTAGGCAGTGTCCTCTCCAATCCTTCAAGTAGCTAGAATGAAGTACTAAATTTTTATAAGCTTGCACACCAAAGATTTTAATTCTCTAATCTTTGTTTCCGTATCTTAGCAATTCCTTGGCCTCATGTCCAAAATTGGCAACGTCTCCATGAGCATCACCTCGCTAGCCCACCGTTCTTTTCCATTAAGCTATACTCTGCTTTTAATACTATTTGTTTCTAGATCATCATATCAGCCTTCCTTCTATAGGATAAACCTATCCATCCTTTGCTTGTTTTTTTATAGGTGCCTCCTCCTTTTTCTGTCCATGCCTTTTCTTCTTGAGACACTTTAATTCTCTCTCTGTGGTGTCCCCAAGTTCACCTTGGCTAATAAATGCAGCAGTTTGGGTACATGTATTTCTTCATATAATTCCAAGTTTGGCCAAGTCATGTAATGAGCAGTTTCTACAATGGGCCCTGTAGGTTTTTATGGCTCTGTAGTTTTGTTGTCTAAATTCTTTCCCATGGCTCCAAAGGTCAAGCAGAATGCCTGTTCCTTGTCCTCCACAGCCTTGTGACCCCCTCCATTCCTCATTCCGGAGAATGACATCTGTTTCATTTATTATGGAGTGATTAGCTCTGAGTAATGGGGGAAATGTGTTCCTCAGAAAGAGAGATTGAAAGTAAAGCAAATAGAAAAGACAGCAGATCAGTTTCAGGGCAACAGTGACCATCAGCACATGTGGGGAGTCATGACCTAGCAATCCTCCAGGGGCAGCAACTGTGTCACACAGCCTGTTATGCAGCCATGCTCAACCCAATACCTCTCTGTTTTCCACCATACTTTGAAAAGTCTATATTTCTGCTTGGATTATCTTTGCATATATATACTGACAGGCAATCTATAACCCATGTGAGTTCTTCTTTCCTTGTGCTCTTGTGGCCCCTTTACATCTTAATTACTGTACTCGTGAGGGAGGGTTTGGGGGGAGTTTCCTAGCTCTGACCATTTTCAACATTGGCTATTTTCGGTACTTTGGATTTCAACATAATAAATTAATTATTGCAAGCATAGAACCTAAGATTGTTATTTTACTTCCTCTGTGTATAATGTTCAGGACTGTTACTCTTCTGTCCTGCCAGTCAACAAACATGGGGTATCTTTCTGTGTATTACGTTTCACTTAATTTCTCTGATACCTTCTCATTTATTGTGGAAGCCATGTTTCATTTTATTAATACTATCCTGTTTTTTGGATCCCACGGTAAATGGGATGCCTCAAGGTTATTTTCAGTGTTTCATTTCTTGTGTGTAGACATGCTGTTGATGTTTATGTATTGATCTTGGCCTCACTACTGGCTCTCAGTGTGGGTCACCAGAGAATGTTGTTTAGATGAGCATTCTACCTTCAGAGAAGACCCTTTTGTCCTCCCTTTACCATTCTAGAAGCCGTGAGTTTCTTTCGTTTACCCAATTGTCTTGCCCCGGTGCTGATCCAGAAGTAACCCTATAGAGTGTGCTTGTTAGCTGTGGAGATTTTGCCAGTATTTACAACTTAGGCTGAGAAGCTTGTCTTTGGTTCTGAGCATGTTGAGTCTTTCTGTGCAGAGCTCTGGATTCCACCGGGCACATGCTCATGCAGCGCTTGCCCCTCCCTCGATCCAACAGTGAGCTGCATTGTACCAACCCATGCATTCCTGAGATGAGTCAGTCTTCAATGTTAGACATTAGTTTTTGTGTTTGATGTTGGATTTGACTTCCTAGATTCTTTAGAATTTTCTTTCCTTGTTATGTCCTGTTTGGTTTTGGTATCAGAGTAATTACTAGCCCCATGGAGTGATTTGGGAACATTTTTGGAGAATTTCTCAATGTCTGATGTTCTTCAGTTGTATGACAGAATTCATATATGAAGTCACCTGGCCCCAGGATCTTCCTTCATGAGAGTTTTAGTTTAAGGATTCTTTTATTTATTGTAGGTATAGTCAGGAATTATTCCCTTTTTGTCAGAAGCTTTGAAATTTTGTGTTTCTGTCATTTTGACTTTCTGATCTGTGTGGTTGAGCACGGAACCCCTCTTGTAGTCCCATTTAGTTGGATAAGGCTGCCAGGGTGCTCCTCTGCCATTCTCTTTAGTTACTGAGTCATGTCTCTTTCTTCTTGATTGGTCTTCTGAAGGTTTATTTATCTTTCTAAGGGAATAATGTTGTTTTGTTTGTTGTCTGTATTTCAGTATTTCACAGCAGTATTTATTGGCTTTATGTTCGTGCTATGGATTTGAAAACTGTCTAGCCTCTTAAAGTAGAAGGCCAGGATACTCTTTGGAAACACTTAAAAATATATAGACATGAGTAGCCTTCACTTCCTCTCTATGTGGTACTTTAGTGTAGTTTATCCATTTTAGGTTTTGTTTTAATATTTAGATCACAAAGTTTGTTTTTTATTGTCCTTGTGATTTCTCCTTGATTTAATTGCTTTCTGGCAAGGGACTTTTATGTAGCTGTGAGTTTGGGCTACACTGTTAGGCTCAGGTCTCATGTGCACACTCGCCCAGGAGCTATCTGGATTCACAAATGGAAGATGCACACACATGACAGTTAATTTTAAAATGCCTTGGCTATCTCAAAGGCTGGGCATTCCTAAACCTTCCCCTGCTACCCCAGGCCCAGTTGGGGAAGTGGCCAGTGACCACCTACCCTAATTCTCACATGGCTGGTTGACTTTCTCTTCTGCAGGTCCTGCATCCCATCCTTCTCCTCCAAGTCATAGAGATTCTGAGTCCTCCCCTCTGCATCCTAGCCCGAGCAACTCTAAGGGTCCCGCCCAGTCTCCCTTTACCCAGCTGTCGGCCACTGACATCTTTTTTGATCAATCAAAAAGCAATTGAAGACAAGGACCTTTATCATTTGGACATGCAGATTGAATCAATTGAATCAAAGTGTTTCTCTCTGTATTTCTGTGAATTTCACAGCTCTTGTTATTATTGCTTCATTTCATCCTATTCTGGTTGGAGAGCATACTTTCTGGTGTTCCTCTGAGAGGACTGCAGTCATTGCCTCATTGTGGGCCACACTGAGAACTGCCCTGGAAGAATAGCTGCTTTGTTGCCTGTGGACTTCCATGTGGCTGTCTCTCAGATCTTTGTCTGTGTTCATTTCTTGTTCTGCCTGAAAAATCTCAACAAGTAAAATGTCAACTACTGCAGAATCGTCTCCCTTCTTTCCCTTTGTTCTGTTAGGTTTTCTTTCTTTTTTATTAATTATTTTATTTACATTCCAAATGTTATCCCCCATCTTGGTCCCCTCTCCCCTTTGCTTCTGAGAGGGTGCTCCTCCACCCACCCACTCCCACCTCAACCCCACTAGGATCCCCCTAACCTGGGACATTTTCAGATTTTGTTTTTATTTCTGATATTTTAATATATTGACTTTTGACATTAAATTTTCTCTTTGTTTATATTTTTCCCTTTGTTTAAAAATCAGTTTTCTCTGCTACTATTTGTCATTGCTACTTTTCTGTGGTTGCTGGGGGAATACTTTTTCACCTTTACTTTCAGCCTTTTATTTTTTTCCTTTCAATGTAATGCATGTTCCCTTACAGTAGCACACAGTCGGCCTGCTTTTCTCAGCCTTGTCTGGCATTTTGGTTAGACTGTTGGATGAGCACTAGTTTGCTATGGTTTGGTTTAGTTTTGCCTTGTGGTCTCTGTGTTCTACAATTCTTGATTTTGTTTCTACTTGCTATTCCTCCTTTGCCATTTTCTTTGATATTGATGCTGCTTTCTGTTCCTTTAATGATCTCTCTGCTACACTTTAAAGAGTTGTTACAGAATTTACCAGACATACCTTCCTGTTTCAGGACCACTTCAGATTTAAACTGACTGGATCCTAGGGCAATGAAGGAGTGCTGTTCTTTTGCCATTTTTTATATTTTCCCATTTTATTGTGCGTGACACAGAAAGATAACAGGATGCTGTGAAATTATTATTTCGTATGTAATTGAAAGAAAGTCCATGAGAAGAAAAAAGAACAGTATATATTTACATCATCTGTTGCATTTATTTATGGTTATGGATCTTTGGATATGTTTCTATGTATTTAAGTTGCCATTAAGGTCATTTCCTTATTCTAAGCTTTGCCAAGGCCCACACAGTATACATTGATTAAAGTTACATTAGCAATTTATTTTTTATAAACTGAAATAGTTTATATTTGTTATAAATGTTTGCCATTCCTGCTACTTTTCAGGCATCGATTATTTGTATTTTCCCCACAAAATAGCTTGTATTTTGTTTGGATAACTTACATGACTCTTCCCCCTCAGAGTCATCAACATTCTACGTGTATACGGCCGTATCTACCATATTATAATGTCTCACGTCAGCTGGCTACCTTCACTCTAAAGGGATCTTTGGTAAGTACATGTGTTCAACTTTTACTTTGATTTCAAATTTTATGTTAGCGTTGGAGAGATGGCTCAGTGTTTAAGAGTGCTTGCTGCTTTCCCCAAAAAGTGGGCCTGGTTTCCTGCACTCTTGTCAGGTAGCTCACAGCTACATATATCTATAGCTACAGAGGATCTGGTGCCTTCTTCTGACCTCAAAAGGTCACACATGTGAGCTTACAGAAACACAACTAATAAATAAAATACATCTTTAAAATTTTATGAAAAATTTGTGTTCTTTTACAGGCCATCAAATCTTATGTGTCATGTATTAGAGAATTACTAAGAATTTGTGTATGAATGGTCACCTGCTCTGGTGCCTTGTGTCTCCGGACTTTTTTTTTTTTTTAAAGATACACTCTCATGTAATCCAGGCAGCCTCATTTACCAGTGGAGGTTGACTAGGAACTTCTGAATGTCCCTTTACTTTAGGAGTGCTGGGATTGCAGGCATATGCTAATATATCTGCCTCAGAGAGTGTGGGGTGAGAAACCCAGGCTCTCTTGCATGCTAGGGAAGCCCTCCACCAACTGAGGCCTTTTCTGATGTCCGTAAGGAAATAGGACAGAAACCAATACCTAACAAAGCTGTCTGGGGCTTGATTGTCCTTGGTGGGGTAAGCAAAAGTTGCACAGTCTAAGGAATTTTCTTTTTCCTTTTTTTGTTGTTGTTGTTTTGTTTTTTTCAACATGGGCTTTCTCTGTGTAGCCCCTGCTGTCCTAGAACTCACTTTGTAGACCAGGCTGACCTCTTAACTCCTAGTTTGCCTGTGTCTGCCTCTGAGTGCTGGGATTAAAGGTGTGTACCACCACCAACCACCTGGTGAGGAGTCTTCAAGCACTAAAGTTTAGAGTATTCTATACTGAAAAACAAACAAAACAAGATAAAGACAAATCAAACAAAATACCTCAAGGTCACCATTTGAAAAGCTTCTTAATTTTGTTTTGTTTTGTTTTCTATGCCAGAGTGTTATTAGAGGACCAGCAGGACTGGGAGGGAGGGAGATAAGAGAGGCCGGGGCGTGGGGGGTGGCAACCAATAAGAATGCATTATATACATGCATAAAATTGTTAAGAGAACAAAATTAGAAAATTAGACCAAAAAAAGAGAACAAAATTAGAAAATTAGACAAAAAAAAAAGAGAAGAAACTTAGACAAAGCATCTAGTCACTGTAATCAGAAAGCAGTGTCACTCTGACGCCTAGCAAAGGGAAACTTGCTCACAAAGCACAAAGTGCACGAGTTTTGTTCTGTATCTGATTAAATATCTGAGTCCAGTAAGCTGGAGGGCTTCAGAAAGAGGCGTTGATAGAAGCCTTTTGTAACCAAACAGTTGTCTCCAAAATCAGGCCAAAAGCTCTGTGTGTGTGTGTGTATGTGTAGGTTGCAAGTTTTTGTTATCTGCGTTCTTTAATTGATTATTTCATTTATTTACATGTCAGATGTTGTTCCCCTTCCCAGTCTCCCTTCCACAACCTCTCATCCTATCCCCCCTCCCCTTTGCCTCTAAGAGGGTGCTCTGCCACCCACCCACCTACTCCCGCCTTGCCCCTTGAGCATCCCCCTTTGCTCAGGACCAAGCACCTCTCCTCTCATTTGTCTAACATATGTGACAAAGACATCTTGAGACCCTTCAACTGTTAAGGCCACCTAACTACATGTGCAAGCTGTAGTAACAACTCAGAAGCCCAAAGATGTCACTTGAAATCCTTTTTCCCAAGTTGTTAAAAATCATGTGGATTTGTTACTTTTCATGTCATTCTTCTGTGAACATGGAGATTTATCTCTTTTCGTAATCTTTTGGAAGGTCTCTCTCTC